TTGCCGATGTTTTACTCCGTTGGCTGGTACTTGCGCGCAACCTAGCTAGTTTCGCATAAATATTGTCGGAGCTATTCCAGCGAACATCATGCGCATGTAAGGGCGGCGCTTGTGGACCCCTTTCCTCATGAACAGGTTACTTTCCTGCTACACAATGCAAGGATGTTTGCCACAATAGGAAATTTCATTAACACAGAATAATCTAACGATTACCCGCGCCCCTTGCTAATGGCGATTCCTTCTCGTCCATACCCCGCAATGGGGTCTTCTCCATGTTTTTCCCCTTTTCCAGCACGTCATTGCGGCTAAATATAGCCTGGACGTGGAGCTTGCCTCATTAATGAAAACCCATCCAATCCTGTAAATCAATATCCGTTTCACCCGACGAGAAGAAGCCTCAAATGACGCGAATGGTTCTACGGCAGACTAGTAACGAATGAGAGCAGGAGATCAAGCACAGGCCGCTTCGCGCACAGACACAATGCGGCAACACACAGCCCAGAGTATACATACTTAGACGGAAAGTAGCAATATTAGCTTAAACGCCGGGAAGACCCGCGATGAAGTCCAGAACACCAGTATTGATAATGCTTACCAAGGCAATTACGACAGTGAAGGGTATTCGACATAGCCCCCATTAGGTACTTACCTACTACGTATGTGCTCGCAATCATGTCCGAGTTCTCGACTAAGAATCTACTTACATATAACGCAATATACGTAGTTAAGCAAATACCGAAGAATAGTTATAACATGACCGATAACTAAGCATTAAGTAACACGTCTAGCCAACTTTCGAGTGTCGATTGTACTACTTACTGATTAGCAGGCGGGGAGAGCTTTGTTTATAGAATAAGTATCAGATGATGAGGTACAAAAGGAAAGAAAAAATGGCTTATGTACAGCTACGCATCCTGGTCATGGGTGCTTGACCGTGTATCACCGAATTGACTGCCTCATTGTTTATTATCTCCAGACACGCTGCCGAGTAGGAAGAAGTGCCGACATTGCGCCATAAACTGCTCGACAGCAGAACACTATGTACTATCTAGGGTTGTTTCAAGACACAGGACCGAGACGCTAAAGAATTATCGTGGTTATCGTGCAAGCATAAACTTTGCAAATTCACCCGTGGCGACCATGTTACTCCATGTCGACAAATCATCGAAAGCACCATTAAGCGAGATGTTCGGCACCCTCCAAAACTATTGCGGAGACCCATTTATGCTACAGTATACCCTCTGGATGTTATGTTGATGTAAGCACTACGACGGGAAAGGAATGCGCCATCTCTGAAGCGTACGAAAAAAAGGCTAGTAATGGCCGAAATGACGCTAGTACATGCCCGAACGATGTGGGGAAATAATTGACCCTCGTATCTGACAGCCCGAGCATGCGGAGGGCGCCTAGATGCGCGGCTTGTTCCTAGTTCCCGTTGCTGTTTACGAGGTCGTGGAGATAACGCCACCAGGCTCGACTTATGACACAGCAAGTACGTGAGTCGAATATCAGCGGTTCATGGTATCCCATTACGTGCCAACGATTATGGTATCCAAGATGATGGGTTTGCCAAGAAAGCCGTCGATCATCCGTTGATTTGTCCTTGACAAACAACAAATAAGGTTTCTCACTCGTATGTAGACTGTGTCTAAACTGGATGCCGTAGGATAATCCAGTGGCGTTGGTATCTTATGACCTGGTCGAATCTGCTTACTTTGCCTTTGTCACTTGTTGTAGCACCTTGAAAAAGACTTTCGTATTCTCAGACATGATGATCTGTAGCTTCATCCAAGTTACTGACCCGAGTACCTGCCGTCACAGCAATAAACGATGCCAAGCACATTGGCTGATCACGTGTGTAGTATACCTCCCTCTATATAAGTACGTCGTTCAGCATTGATACTAGCCGCGCGCAAAGTTGAAGCGATGACGCAAATGGCTTTTGCGACATATCGCGTGAAACAGGCACAACTCCGTTTCGACACTTGGCTAGCGAACGGTGTTATTTCGGACAGGACTGAGAAACATTAAACACCCAGCCGTGTGGCTATGTCAATCAACTACTGCAAGCCATATTTTAGGTTTGATTGCTGCTGCCTTCTCAACTGCCGAACCGTTTCCCTTGCTGCATGCTCGTGGTCCAACGCGGTCTGGAAGTTTCCCTGACCGAAGCGCAGTTTTATCAGTCGATATGATGCTCGAATCAACGAGTACTGCGTGGATATTCTATGAAGGTGAACATGACAAGGAGCGAGTCTTTGGTTTAGAGTTCGCGGTCATCAGCAACAGATTGTCAGTACGGTACACGCACGGTTAGCACTAGAAAGCCCAACGGAACTCAGCATGGTGGGGTGGGTGCGCAATCTGCCAAAGATGACTTCAACGGACGTGTCTTGCCTGTAGTTTCCCAAGTACCTCGTCTTTGTGCTGAGGATCACAGGATTAAAGTATCACGTCCGGTACGATGGATCGTTGATCAAAGGCAAACATTGAAGAGCGCAAGATGTTTTGCAGAGTTCCAAATTGATACAGCGCCAATCATCTCGTTGACTCGCCTCCTACGTATATCAGTACATGATGCAGTACTCAACTCACTACCAAAAAACGCTCTCCATCCCAAAGCGCCCTGTATCAAGGCTTCCACCCTCCGGTCCGCGTGCGGAACAAGCCTTTCGGGTCCACAGCATCCGCAACCCTCTTCGCCAGCGCACGACTCTGTGGCCTCAACCTACCAAAATAATCTTGGCGATAGAATCCATAATTCATAAAAACAGGTAAATAAGCGTCTGGCAACTTTCCATCTGCTTGCCACGCCAACACTCTATTGCGAATGCCCGTGTACGTGGCTTCCATAGTATCAGCCATTCTGTCATACAATGTTTTCGGTGTAAAGGCGTAATTCATCTCGATGATGATACGGTCAACGCTTGCGTCGGCATCAATCAGGTCAGGACTAAGCTCTCGGGCCTTTTGTGCGATGCGTTTGGGAAAAGGCTGCCATGCGATGGATGCGACTATGCCAGGTACAAGGAGCGTTGTTTCAGAGATGTTGCGCCAATGGTTATGGAGACCCCCCATGATCTCGACTGCATTGGCGCGAGAAGGAATGGGTATGGTCTCAGTGGCGATATCAACGACACTGCCCTTCAGTACTACCCAATTACTAAATGCCATCAAGTCGGCATACGTTCGTGTACGTGTTGTGTCAAGAAGAGGGTTAACATCGGTGAAGTTTTTGAAAAGTCCCGGTGGTGGTGTCGCGCCGTCGTAGAACAAGAATATAATCCATGAGTCGATAATGTTGATATTGGTGCGCTCAGCAGTGACAATGACAGCTGCCTTATCATCCTCGTTATACTCGGTCCAATCACGTACAGCTTGGAGTAGCTCGGCGTCCTTCTTCGGCGTGCGTAAGTAAACAAGATTGCCACCCCACACGTTGCCCTGGCGGCGGGCTTGTAACTTGTAGTTTGTTACAACACCAAAGTTGTTGCCGCCTCCTTTGAGTGCGACGAACAGATCGAGGTGGTTGTCTTTCCTGATGTGACCAATCGTGCCGTTTGCAAAAACGATTTCGTACTCTAGAACACTCGAAGCAGCCCATCCATATTGTGTCGACATGTAGCTAAGGCCTCCGCCAAGGACCAAACCACCAACTCCAGTGTTGCCAATTCGTCCACCAACAAACGTCCACCCAGAGCCTTGCAACTTGGCAGAAATACTGTCTAGCCGATTGCCTGGACCTACGTCGACAATACCAGTGCTGCTATCCAAAATAGCCTGATCAAGACGATCCATGGAGATTAGGGGTCCTCCAGCAACACTGCTCCAGCCGTTGTTCGGGTTGTGCCCCCCAGACTTGATGGCGAAAGGCTCCGTAGTATTAGCAAGCACCTTCATCACTGTCGAGACCTCCTCCACCGTCTTGGGGAAGATGATGCACGACGGGAGAAGAGCCGAGCATGACGTCGACCAGTATTGCGTCTGCTCTTCAATATAAGCTAGGTCCAGAGAGTATTTGACATCAATGCCCCCAAGATCCGTAACGATAGAACAGGTATCGGCGCGAACAAAGAATGGCAGCAAAAAAGCGCAAGAAATGTATACTATGTATAACAACATTTTGATACAGAAGTAGTGATCCTATTCAGTTTGTTGTCACTACTTCTCGTCTCACGATGGTCTTATAACGTTCTGAGGTTGTCATGACTCAATGACATCGGCCAAACTTCGTCGGGGTGAGCCATGCTGCAAGCGATCCTCGTACGTCAATGGCAACACAGATAGCCCACGATGGACGTGAGGGTCGTGAGACAGGCTGTGCAGGATTCAAGTGACTAAGTTAGTAGATGCCGATCATCGTGGCTACCATGGGGTTCCTTCGTCATCGAGTTTCGGTAAGCGTGTAGCTGCAGCAGTTCATTGAATGTGGCTTGGAACTAGATTGGACAACTTGTATTGTACAGTGGTGCCAATATTGTTGGGCAGTGGGAAACTGTTCTCATTTCGTCGCAATTCCAATCGTCACTCCTCCTATTGGCAGAACCTAGGCACTGCCATATCGTGAGATTGATCAGGTGTACTAATTTAGTCGTCTTTTCAGAAGATTCAAGCCCGGGCGACAGTATTCAAAGCAGGTTTTCGTATTCGTAAGAGGTTGAAAAAGCCGAAGGTAGCAGTGGCTGAAACCTGAAATCGGTTGCTTGTAGACAGATCTGGAAGATTGGAAAGAAAAAAGAGCACAAGGAGATGGCCAAGAGTCGCATGAGATGTCCAATCGTCTTGATATCCTGCAATTGTAATGTTGCTCCACCGGCTTAATATGTGTTGGCTCGCTTGGCTGCAGACGCTCATAAGAAATGGGTATACCCGCTGCAGGTGTCTGCAGAAATACGAGGAGCTGAACACGGAGTCGCATGTTCCTGAGCCTGCAACGGTTAGCGTAGTATTTACTCCCGGAAATCGGTGACTTATGTAAAAAAGAGTGGCCGTCCTGAAAGACAGCCAAATGAAGCACCCACAATGCCCCTCACTACGCACTTCTATTTCCACACCAATGGCTATACTGAGTGTCGCCTTGAAAGGTGTGTCGTTGATCTGTCCCATGCAGAAACTTGACGACATCGCGAAAGAGAGTGACAGGATGACCAGAAAGCAAAGTCAGTAGAACAAAGGGGCCTGCAAGGCTGCTCCAGGCGACAGGGACGGACAGGTCTAGACCTTGAGCCTCACTCTTGAGAGGTCCCATCTCTGAAGTCTGGCATGAGAAGTGATGCAATGTGGCTTCCGGTGTTCCGCCGCTTTGCTGTAACCAGTTTACATTCTCTTCGCTTAGTCGCCTTGAGATTAGTCTCATGACACACAACGGAATTCGATATACACCCCAAGAAACAAAACTCGCAAGAGCCACGGCGCTTCCAGGGAAGCCGCCGTCACGTCTCCAAGGCTGCTGGGTTCGCTCCATTGCAACAGTACCATCTTCCTCATGATTCAAAACTCGTCGATCAGAAGATCCTAATCGAACAGCACAACGGCCACGAAACTGCCTTCTGTTGACTCGATCTTCGCTGGTTGCTATGCCAGGAAGCTTCTCTCTGTTTGTGATTGCATGACTCTCGGAGACTAGTCTTTGTTGCCGCTTTGCTTCCATTCACCTGGTGACAGAGGGCATTATAATACGGACAAAGGACATCCTCAAAAACCGTAATCTTGGTCGTAACAGTCAAAAGTACCGTTCGACCGGAAGGGGAAACGCTCGTCGATGCCGACACACGCTGAACGTGCATGTTGACGATTAACGCGACTGGTCAGATATCGCTGTGGAGCGACTAGTGTCTAGAGACTTGCATCGTGACACAGTCTCCATGATGTTGTATACAAAGTGAGAGTGTAAAGAAGTGATCGGGATTTTCATCCCTGTAGGAGAGATGCACGAACATCTTCATCGCTAAGCACTACTAGCCGGCTCGATTCAAGTTATCGCACAGTGCAAGCGTTGCGAACCTGGCCCAACACCCATCCATCCATCAAACAACCAAACATGAGCTTCAAGACATCGGATCCGGAGCGGGGCGGTTCGCCAATGATGATGATATCTGCCTGAGACGCAGAGACCTCGCTAGGCTTTCGCCTTTCCGACGAGTGGATCTCCGCGCCGACCGAAGCCAGAACAGGTTGGTACATCTGTGTGTCAGGCTCGACAAAAGTCAAACCGCGCTCTTCTTCTGCCTATTCGCTACTTGGATGATGCGTGACGAGGACGTTGTGATTGTCGGAGCCTGGCGTGGCAACTTCGGTACGAGTCCTAGAAACGAGCAGCCCATGTACTAGCGGAATTCAAGAGCCCAGCGTCGGTCCCCAGCCAGGGCGACGGACATCTCCCATCACTTCTCTTTCTCTTGCCATTGCTGTTTCATCGTGAAGCTATCTGTAGTGACCAGAGTCTGTTGCACAGATGAGATGCCGACGTGGTTCCCGAATGAGAACTTTAACACCCCGACAGGCACATGTCATCTCATTTTGAGTTGTTCACTCCCGTACCTCGACTCTTCCTTTTGCGCCGAGCCTGACTAGTCCACAAGTGAGCTGTCTAGCAGGGGCTAATTGGAAGGCCGGCGACATGACCGCGATACTCTTCGTCCAGCGCAAAGGCTGGAACGAATACCAATAGATGGATAGGGTTAAGATCCGAGCTTGTCTTCCTCACCCACAACCTCGATGCTAACAGCGAGGCGCGCAAACCGACATGCATGTAACCCATTGAGACCATGCCAAGAGGCTCGGGTGAGTGTCGATCGCGCAAGTAGGTGAGGCGCGGACGAACCGCACTCCAAATGGAAGACAAGCGTCGGGAACTATGGGGAAAGTGGCATGCGTGATACTTGCAAGTTGAGAGAAGAAACCGGATCAGAGAAGGGCGTTACGCGGCCGTCCCGCTATCATCGACATGGTCAGATCTGGTTGAAGAGCGCGTGTAAGAATCCAAGTCCGGTCGTATTGCAAAAGAGCGTAGCAGCCGTTTGATTGGAGGCGGACGCCGTGTAGTGATGGAGCAGTTGAGGTGTTGGTTGTTGGAATGGTACCCCGTTGGACAAAGGGGAACGACGCGTTGCTCCATGCCAAGAGATCGCGTCAAAGCGGCGTCAGCACGTGACTAATCATTGCCATCGCCGTTTGCGTCTGCTCACCAATCTTTGCATTGTAGTCACATACGCTGAAAATTGCAGCCCAAGGTCCAAAAAAACAGTTATTCCCTGGTCTGAAGAGACTTTTATCTGAACAAGGTTATCGAAAATCAGACCCGGTGCGACAGACGCAAGATTGCTCGCCCCCAGTAAATAGCGCTGGCACTACAACCAGTCGACTCGAGGCGAAACCATTCATCATGGGAGCAATCGAGGACGCAGTAGATTCCGCTGCCAACTTCATCGGTCCATTCGTTGACAAAGGCCGCAAATACAGTGGCGATGTGCCCACCTCGTCACTCATCCAGCAATCTCTTTCCCACCTTCAAGCCATCAATACTGCCGATCTAGTCGCAGACCCAAACGCCCCTTATGATGCGTCTCTTGCAGGAGTGGTATACGGCCTCCTGGATCTCATCATCATTCTTGCCGTCATACCACGGTTGTCTCCAGGAGTAGCATTTAGCCAGCGACCACGCTCGGTCCTGACTACGATTGTCACCGCATCACCTGACCACGATATGGATGCTTTGGCTGTCATGATTGAAGGCATCCTCCCGATTCTAGAGCAAAAGGGCTCTGGTATACAGCCACTTCTCTCCCAGAGGATCCTTCCAGACGTCGTATCCGCACTTGCTGAACTATCCTTCTCGCCCTTTTCGTCTGAAGACACTAAATTCAAGTTCTCGCCTATTTACAAAAAGATAATGATTGAGATTCCAACATCTCGACTTCTTCCGATATTAACGTCCTTTCTACAGCAACCTCTCCCCGAATGGCTAAAACCTATTATTTCGATGGAGCTGTCTATGGTCCCGCTTCGGCAACAAGGCGTCCGACATACCATTGAGTTCCTGGCGCTCTCGTACCTTTCCAAGAACTCTCACATCCCCGAGGGTGCGTCAGGCTCACAATCTCAGATTCCCATTCCACTAGAAGCTATCACGCAGGCGTCAAAGCTGCTTGTACTTCCGCCCAGCGGCATTACACCAAATGACTGGATAGAAAGACTTGCACCTCAATTGCTCCACCTGTTGAACGGCTGCGAAGGAAAAGAATTGAGCCGAGCAGCAGGCCAGATAATCGCGGGTGGAATACTCAGCAAGAAGACGACCGGAGCACCAGGTACTATAGGATGGAAAATCTTTGTGGAACCTATATTCCATGCAATCTCTCCGAAGAATACTCAAATTTCAGTTTCCGAAGAGGGCAGGAAAGCTGACGTTGTCGTAAGAGAAGGTGATCTCAAACCGGCACTCCGCCAACTCAACAATATTACATGTTCATATTCTCACGCTGGCCTGATCAAACGCCTCGTCACTCCGATGCTGCTTCCCCTATGGGCGCTTCTCAACTATGCTAAGCGCAGACCCTCACTTGACAAAGAGTGGACAGCGCTTCCAAAATCAATCATATCACGATATGTAGAGATGGCCTGTGACGCGAAGCAAATTGACAACATGGCACGTCATATCTTTTGGGACGGGGACACTACATGGACCTTTGGCCCTGGCTCTGAAGGTGGTGTTGAAATACGGCGGCGCACAAACGGCCAGTCTGAGAACAATACAGCAGGCATGGAGGGAATTCTTGGGCAAATTGGCGACCTGGATAACCGGGTCAACCTGTTAGTGTCTCTCTTGTCAGAAGCGAGTGTCTCCGGAGATGTCGCAAGCTCTGTCTTTCTTAGTACAACGAAGCGGTGGCTTGAACCCGCGAAGCCAGCAGCCGAGTCCCTCACGGATGAAGATTTCATCGGCGATCCTCTCTCAGCATTGGTGGATGCGAAACTGTCTGAATCTCTGGCCAGGCAGTTCCAAGAGCATTTCGCGAGAAGCCCACAGCACATTACTGAGCTCATGGCACAGCTGATTGAGAATTTTGTCGAGCATAAGAAGTCCTTGTTTAGTGCAAGCAAGTCACGCATGTCACAACGCGCCATGCTTGGCAACATTGTGCAAAAGCAAGCTACAACAAGGGAGAAAAACGAAGATGATGCTGTGAACGAGGACCTGGTTTCGTTTGCCTTGAGTATTTTGAATACAATGGTGGCGTCGCCCGATTTTCAGAAGACGCCTTTGGTCAAGGAAATGTTGCTTGCACTTTTGCCATCATTGGCATATCTCTCGGAATATCGGAACCAAACGCAATCGCCTATACCGTCCATGATTAGCAACTCCTCTACCATCCTTTTCCAGCTCATCGCTCCCACCACTGCCAATTCTCCGTCCACTAAAGCCAGACTTGCGACGAATGTGCCTGTCGATCTCTTGGCAGAACACCGCGCTGCACTAAGGACCTGCCTCGAGGAACTTCAGTCAACGGACCCGCCAAACCGTACCTGGGCTCTCAACACTATACACTCGATGCTCAAAAACCCAGCTGCGTTCCCAGTCATCGACATACCATCTCTTACACATATCTTGCTTTCATCTTCGTTGGCCGATCCCGAGTCATACGTCCATTTAGCGGCAATACCTGTTCTCGTCACATTAGCAGCGCGAGTACCGAAGCCTGTTGTCGGGATCCTGGTTGATGCATTCGTGGATGTTGATGAACGATCTTTGAAGCTCACAAGGGGGAAGCAGACAGAGCAGAAGGAAAGAGAGTTGAGGAATGCTTTAGACTTGAGACTACGGGTTGGTGAAGTCCTCAACACATTTGCGGGTAGCAATGTCTCGTGGGTCTCGCATGCGAAAGATGGAACGATGTATAGGTGCGCAAAACAAATTACAGAGGCATGTCTATTGTTGTCAGGTCGACGAGGGCAACGCGTGCAGACACTTTCAATGCGAAATGAGGTTGCAGACAGCGAGCGGAGGTTGAAGGAGGAAGGTGAGGCAGCCTGGGGTGGTCCGATACCGAATGTTTTTGAGCCTGATGGTGCGGACCCGCAAGAGCAAGCAGACTACACTGCTCTACAAAAGATTGTCAGTGGGTGGGAAAACACGGGAATCGAGGAAGATGTTAGAATGCGCGCTTCTGCACTCAGCGTTCTGTCGACTCTGCTGGAGTACCGACTCGAGGTGCTACGGCAGCCTTTGATTGATGCATCGCTGCAGATGGTATTGCTCATACTAGGGTTAGAGAAAGATGATGCAAAGGCTTTGCTACGGCGTGCTGGTGTTCTTGTTATCATGGGATTACTACGCGGCATTGACGCGGCAATCGAGGCTGGAAAGGAGGGTATGGTCGCACTAAACTTGAAGCAACAGCAGGAAATAGAGCGAGTGACCAGATGGGTGAAGGATGAAGACACAGATGAACTTGTGCGAGACCATGCATCAAGTGTAGTAGAGGGATTGGAGACGTTGAGAATGAAGGAGCTGTACAGAGTGCGAGAAAGGGGATTAAATCTCGATGGAAATCTTGGGCTGGAAGGTAACCTAAGAGGGCTTGAAATACAACCGGGAGAAGGCAAGAAGAAAGAAAAGAGGATAATGGTAGAGGAGATAGAGTAGCTCCGAAAGACAAGAATCATGATGGTATTCTAGACGCTTCGTTTTGGAGGCTGTCTGCTGAGTTGGCCAGCTCGTGCCTACGTCGAGTAGCGCCGTGGTATCTTTTGTTTGTTTGGTGGCCAGAGCACGCTGGTGGCTCAGTCGTGTAGCCGCATGTATCATAAGCTCACCCGTCCAACGCCAGGATGCCCTTGGGTGAGCGCTCACTCGTGTCGCCATTTCCAGACGTGGCGCGCATCGTGTCGTCGTTTGTTTGGCAGTCTCAGCCACTCATTGCCGTGTCTTTACCAGTCTTTGGTTCCACCTCTTCGGCCTTGCCAATCCAGAGCACGTTGTTGCACCGTATAAGCACTTGTCCGAGCGTGCCTGAGCTGACGCCGTTTACGAACTCTTCCGTGTTGGACAACTGGATGTTCATGTACAGGTCGACCGAAACCAGTCTGCCCTTGTACTCGGTCTCGCCCCACTTTAACCGAACAACAATGTCCTTGTCTACTCTGTGATGGGTCAGTTCGAGTCTCGGGTAGGTCGCAGTGAAGGTGTGCTTCTTGGAGAAGGCGTGACGTACAAGCTCTGGAGGAGAGGTCGGGGGTTGAAAGGTGCGACTGCCTGTAAACCGTTAGCCATGCGCAACAGTGCATGCAAATCAGGACCGCATACCGCCATGTCTGCGACTCGGCTAGAAGTCTTTTTGGCGCGGAGAAAGGCGGGAAGGGGAGAGAATGCGACGCCGAGGTCGATTGGTGGTGAGGTGTTGGGTCAGAATGTATGCAGCACTGGTCGCGCTCTGCAGCTTTGGAAAGTTGTCGGCAAAAGGTAATGCCGATTGGCTGGTTGGTGGGCCTCTCACCGCGGGGAAGGCATAGAATGGATTTGGGGCCATGACCATGTACCCTCGTGTATTTATCTAGTACACAATGCGAGGACATACATATGAGCCTCTCAGTATGCACGACAAGAGCAGCATCTATATTTCGCAGCTGTTACATTACGTGTATCGATTTTTGTAGACACAGTCTGAATCCGTCTTGTCCTGTCCTGTCCTGCGTGTTTCCTTCCCGCATTCAGGTCACACTCCAGAGCCGCAAACTAGTAGCGGGTGCGCTAAGATTTTATCGTCATGTTCCCATCGTCCCACAGCCTTCTCCCACACAGCCAACCCGCCATTGCTTCCTTGACTGACTATCACGTCCGCTCTTTTACGCCTTATTCGTATCCTATAGACATCTGCCACCAATTGCACCATTGCGCCTACCACCGTGCGTCGTCTGACCCTCCTACCCGCGACTTGCTCTCTCGTCGCCCCTCCACTCTTCGCACAGCATGCTCCGGTAGCAATGCTAGCAATTTGGTCCCGGGCAACACTGAACCCGGGATCCTGTAGGTGCATGTCATGCGCTTCCAACACAGTCGTCCGCGCACGTACAAACAGTCCAGCGCCCTTCCGTCGCGCGTGGTCTACACCCGGCACACCCACCTCGACTTTTGTATACACGACCATTTTTGCTGCAGGGCTAACTGCTGATACAAAGGCCAAAGTGGCCAGGAATAGACAATGGGAGCAGGCATTCGACAAATCGAACGAGCCCGTTGATGCTCAGAGTCCAGGCGACGGAGACATGAATCCAAACGTGACGAGTGCTCACCCCTACGAGCATCCTGAAAACAGTGGCCTGTCGTTTGACGACCTCCCTCAAGATCTTGACTGGGCTGCTGTGCAAAGAACCATAGGCATGGACCTTGTTGAAGATCAAGTCTTGCAGACGCAAGAGGTTGAGTCACAGATTCGCGATTATGCAGACATGGCATGGGATGAATTACGCTTTGATTCGAGATTCCCCGGCGTCCAGCTGCTCGAATGGCCAGCGAATACAGGCCCGGATCTCGTGCGCTACAACCTTCCGCCTCAGTCACTATGGGCGCCAGATGCCCTGCGTCTTAACGCCATGCGGAGACGGCATACTCGGAAGAAGTTGGCCATACAGGAACTTTCCACTGCACTTCTTATCCATGAACTGCTACACCAAGCTAGTGTTTTCCGCTTTTTGAACACTGCAAGTGACGAATTGAACAAGCTGGCACCACAGATCCTAAAAGTTGTTCGCATGGCCGAAGACGAGCGCAAAGAAGCACGTTTAGAGATTTTAGAGGCACTTGAGAAACTGTACAAGACTCGTGTAGATAGTCCTGCCGAGGACTTTGCAACTGCCCGCATCCGGGTCAATCCCCTCGCAATTCCGAGCTATCACCAGGACGCCGATGGCGACTTTTATGGCATTACAAAGCAGTTGAATGATGGTCTCAAAACCTTGCTTCGCGAAACACCCCGCGGCAACGATCGGAAGGCGGCCCTCGCAGTCGCAAGAATATGCCACAATCTCCTCATCTCCTCCGCTTCTCCCGATCTGCAGACGTTCAATACCCTGCTAGTAGGCTTCAGACGCTGGCGTCGCAGGGAGCTAGTCGAGCGCGTCATACCTGCACTTTACGCCAACAAGATACGGCCCAATGAGATCACCTGTCGCGAGATTCTAGATCATTACGCGCTAGGAGGGCAATCAGCGGCTGCCAGCTTCTCACGCTTTGTGGCCAAGATGAGGGGCTTGGAAGATGCGCTCATGCTTGCAAATCCAGACATCAGCATTAATAAGGCCAGCCAAGATCGCCTCATCCGCGTCAGCCCAGAAAAGGTTCTTCAAAAAGTTCATCCGACGCCCATGGTGTTTGGCGCGCTCATAGGTGGCGTCATCAAATTTGCTGGTTTTGATCGAGCTCTAGACATCTATTACGAGATGAAGGCGGATGGTTGGGGCCTCGACGTGCAGGGCCTAACCAGATTGTTGGGCGATTGTGTGCGCCGAGCTGACTGGGAAGGTGGCTTATACGTGTGGGAAGAGATCAACGGTATCAAGACACGCGTGAAGCATCACGATATGGCTAAAGCATACAGCCACATGCTCAGCTTGTGTTCCGTCACTGGCAACACCGTTGCCTTCAATCAGATCTTGAACGATCTAGCCAGGGGAGGGTTTGATCGCAAGCTCATCATTGATTCGGCTACACGGACGACTAGCTTAGCAAAGCGCAAGAACGAATACCTGGCCCCGGCTTGGGTTGCCGATAATGTCATGATTGCTGTGTCACAGTATGTCCAGGACGCCAAACCCTCTGGGCCGGACGTCGCGCCAGATGTGATCGATACTGATGACGCTGCGCTCTCCCAGGACGAGTTTGACACTTTCGGAGATATTGAGCACAATACGGCCGATACCAAAGAAGCATGGGCATCTTGGGTCGAACATGAGTTCGGCGTGAGGCCAAAAGAGCCAGAGCCATGAGATTTCCATGGCTCTCTGTACATTACATGTGTTCATACCACTGTGCACATCAGAGCATCGGGCCGGCGTTTTATGGTGACTCTGAGCATGTAGTTAGCGTGACAATGTAAACTATGGTTGTTTCCCTCTTCGAAAAGTCGTCGATTTCCTTGTCACTACAATAAGTCATTGTTGCTTGCACAGTCTCAATCAGCGAATACATTCCGAAATCTACTCGCCATGCGAGCAATGTTGATCCCGTAACTTAATGATGGTGGCGAACCGAATAAACGTTTGCAGCTACCATCCCGCAGATATCACCCGATTGCTATCTTGCCGAGGACATGCTTGTCCCTGATTGTATATTTAGATTACTCGCGCCGCACCACAATTTACAGTCCCACTTCCACAACTTCATCACCGAGGAAAGGAACACTTAGTGGACATGGTCAAGGCTTTGCATCAGTAAAGAATAACTTGGGACTGCTATCGTTCTTTCTATTGGATCAACGTCCTCTGCCGCTATTATCACAAAGTCACCCAAAACGCATGGCTGACACTCAAGCACCAAGTTTTCTTAAACCCCTTGGCATATCGTATCCGAAATCAACGACCTGACGTTCAGCCGAAGGCATCGAAAGTCTTGCGTCAAGTTACGTTTCTCTTGCAACATTGGCATCGCTCACGCACAAATGGGCTCAGATGCTCGCTTAATTGGATCGTGCAGATTCAGTCTAATTAGGTGCATCTGCAGCCAAGGACAGCTGAACTTGTACTACAAGGAGACTATATTCAGTCATACTGGTGGTGAACTGGGATTATCGGTCTTGGCCAGTGCGCACCACTCTCATAGCCGTTGTACAGCAAGGTGTTCCTTTCCCCGGATTTTCTTGCTATCTTTGGGTCTAGACCTCTCGGTGTTTCCCTGCATATCACCACACATCCTGATGAACGGGAGTGCATTCGCCCCGTGAAGCCTGTATCCATTCGAGCAATCTGGGTTTAGAATTTCCGAACGCATCAATATTCCTTTTGCTTCCAGAACGGCTCGGCATCAGGATCTAGTCTGCACCCAAGACATTTTCAAATCTAAAGATCAGCCACCTTTTGAATGTCAAGGGACACGACAGATGGCGTGTGTACCAAGACGATTCTGCTTTACAGCCGGAGGAGCGACACCTCTCAGCAATGTGCCGGTAATAGATGAAGTGGGAACATTCTGCGCTATCGTTCGAGCCGGAGAACGGTTTGCACTAGCAGTATTGAATGTGAGCCGTTTGACGCCGGATGCACAGGTTGAGGCATGGATTGGCTACAGTGAAGCTGAAGGTTGGAAGTTAGCGCAGTGAAACGGCTGTGTAGCGCCAGAAGGAATACCACCTTGAAGATACATCGGGTTGCGAAATCACTGGACGTGTCACTTGGAGTCGACGCTGCTGCATCCATCCCTACCGCATGCATGTTTAGGGGATTTAGTTATTCGAGGGTACCTTGCGAGCCATGCAGAAACAATGTAGCACGGCGACACCAAATGGTTCAACGTTACAGGAAGATTGCCTTAGACAGGCAAGAGTCGAGAAGAATACGTACGCTGTCGTCTTCGGAAGCTTGTTTGTTTATAATCGTTATACTCTAGGTACAAGCCGGGGCCTATCAACGTCAAACGGTGGGTGTACGAGGAAGAGCAAATAATTTCATTCGGAGCATCGGATCTCACATCATGCAGCAGCAAAGTTTGGCGCCCAATATGTGTGGCTGTCAAACTCTGGCTGAACAGGTCCCGTGTCTCTCTGTCGCGCTAGTCTGAAGTCGGAAGGGTACAGTACTTTACCCAGATTGCAAGCATCTCGTATCTACGGCCTCGAACACAGCAGTCACCTCACCTGCCCCACCTGGTCAAGTACTACACGCTGCGCTATAACGAGGGATGGGCAAAGTTTGGTTCAGACCATGTGCATAGATTGCGTCCGATGTTTCTACTGCAATCACTCGCCACTCACGAGGGTCCAGCTGATATATTTATATAAAACCAGTACCGGCCACGGGCAAGTCCCTCCTCTTTTTCTCTCCTTTGCAATCAGACAGTGACAACAATCCGGTCTTCGATTTCAACTTTTGTTTGACACATCAACCCAACGAGAAAGAAGATAGCCAAGCGAAAAGAAATACAGAAAGAAAGAGACAGAAGGAAAAAAATGCAGTACCGACTAGTCTCTATGCTCGCCGCCGGCGTATTGGTGGCTATGAGCAGCGCCGCGCCAGTTCCCTCACCTGATGTACGTACTCATCTAGGCGAAAGAGACCTTTAGGTTTCCCCTTCACAGTTACTAATCAAGACCAGAATCTATCCATCACCAACCCCCCAAACACCATCGAGCTCGGCAAGCCCTCGTCAGAAATCTCCTGGGGCAGGAGCGTCGATACCGAAGTCACCAACCCCGACGTGGTAGATATTTCCCCTCCCACCTCTGAGATCATCTGGAGCAAGGAGAAGAAGGCGCGTGGTGTGGAGTTTGAGAAGCCAAAGGATAGCTTCAACCTGGGCAACGCAAACACGGTCGTAACGTGGGGCAAGCGCGATTCCACCACTGGTGTCACGCCCGAGGATACTATTGAGCTGGGCAAGCCTAGCACTGAGATCACGTGGAGCAAGGAAAAGCGTGATGAGCTTGTCACGCCAGATGATAGCATCAGTCTTGGTAAGCCGTCGACGGTTGTGACGTGGTCTTGAAGTCAGGGCGAGTAAGGGGGGTAGTGATGGTGGTGATAAAGAACGTCTAGGAGCTCATTCATAGCTACGTATATGGTTCTATTCGAAGGGTAAGGAGTTTTTCTTAGTGGTTGAAAGAGTATGTAGTTTCATAGGATATACATTTTATTTTATTCTTCCTACTTTTCGAATGATTATGGAGTCGATGAGTCATGTGCATAGTGATGTGTTTGTATGATGCAGTTATGTGATGGCGCTTCGATATCTTGATGATAACACTGCGCAACCCTTTTTCTGATGTGAAAGTAGGTGAGATACAATATCACATTACCCGTTTCCTTTTCTTTTCTTGGCAATTTATACAGTGCTTTTCTCTAATCACACTAGTATATCATTAATATAAAGTATATCTCCTCTACGTTTTGACAACAACAACCAACATCAACAGCCTATTTGTACACAGAAGATGAAATGATCAAGACGATCCCACAACCCAAGACTGACTAACCCTGGCGATACCAGTTCTCCTTGGGATCCTGCATACACTCGCCCATGGTGACTGCGCGGAGGCCCTGGCCGTAGAGGTAATCCAGCATGTAGCCAGTGAGGTTTTCAGCAGTGAGCTCGTGAATATCATGTGCAATGGCCAGCCTGTGGTTGCTGCTGCGCGTGTCGATACCTTGCTTGAAGTTGTCTCTTGAAGTCTGCATCCCAGGCGTGAGGTTGTTGTAGTCTGTTTGGTTGTGTTAGAAACCACTTTTTGTAAAAGAGAGTATAATAGAAACTGACCATCAGTATCGAGATCAAAATAAGAAATGACATAGCCTAGCTCAGCCATGATTTCCTGACACTGCCCATTGCATGACGAGTACGGTGGACGCATATATGTCGGAAAGCGGCCAATAATGTTGCGAATTGCCATTTCGTTCTTGACCATCTGGTCATAGACCTGTTCCCTAGTAATGGCAGAGAGATCCTGGTGGCTCCATGTGTGCGACGCCACTTGGTGTCCGTTGTCGTACATGTTCCGCACAACTTTATCCCACTGTTGGTCAATGGCGCCCTTGCCAAGATTGTTGCCGGTAACGAAGAAAGTAGCACGGCCTCCCTTTGCCTCAAACTGCCGCATGATGGATTCAGTGTAGACGAAAGGTCCATCGTCGTATGTGATGGCTACTGTACCGGGATTTTTGCAGGCGTAGATGCCCGCTCCACCGTAGGGAATGCTGCCAAGTTTGGGCCGGGGAACGTTGCGTGTGCTTGCGCCAGATGGGGTCTTGTTGGCGTCGCATCCAGGGCCGTAGTTGAACAAGCAGTCGGGTGCTTTGCAGTGATCTTTTGTAGTTCCGCAGTAGCCGTTTGCTGAGCAGCAATCGTTTCCGGCGCATTTTTGATTGCCGTTTGCCGGACCACAACGTTCAACTTCCTGCCTTGGGCCAAGGACAGGCGCAGAATGGGCAGGATAAAGGGTTTGGAGGCGAGCGAAAGGGTTTCTAGCGCGTAGTTCTGTTGGCATACCAAACGTCTTAGGCATGCCTTCCATGCCTGTTCCATGAGCAGCGGCGAATTGCCCGGCCAATGAGGCGGCAACGACGTGTGAGAAACGCATTCTGTCAGACCAAGGGTTTCAAATACAGTATTGCTTTTAGCTGGGTACGACAAAAAAGTAAAAAGAAGCAGATTTGCAGATGGATTATTGCTCAGGCGAGGGCTAGAAGGGGAAACGGTCTGGTTGCGTGTAGAAAGGAGGGAGGAGGACAGGGGGGTCATCTTAAGTAGAAGGGAAAAGGATATGTGATGTGCATGAATGCTGATGGTAGCGGCGCTGCTTGAGGGGCGGAATCCGGGGTACCCGTAAGCAATGGAGTAGGTACTGTTGAGGATCATGACAGCTCGCCCTAACCAGACCTTGGCCCAGGGATGATGATGAGTTGCATATGCTCATTCCACGGTCGTATAGCGGTTTGCATCTTTGTTTGTTTTTTCGAGTCAAACTCTTGATAGTGTGTAGAGTACGAACTGGTATAATGGGACGAGAGGTGCTCATGGTACATGTGCTTAGAATGAACTGTTGTCAGCAGCCAAGACGCCTAGTCTTGGTGATGATGTGTCGTCATGATAGATCGACTAAGTACTCTACCAGATGCCGACAAGTGTGTATGCACATTGACGATCAAACTAGCGCTGTGAGCTCTCGTTGTATGGCAGCCAACCAAGTTATTGTGTACTCGTTTACTCGTCGTAGGAGTACTGTAAGATTTCATTTTTTTTAGAACAAAAAGAAGATGCTACCAGGATATATAGTTGAAGCAGTATCCTAAAGAAGAAGTTGAGAGACGAAATATGCGGTACGGGAGTAGATAGTATGAGAATTGGGCAGTTGAACCATGGCGCGCGTACAGTGGGTATGTATGTACTCAAATATGTAAGTACCGACCGTAACGAGGCCGTCGAGCATAGACGGCAAGGCAGGACTGTACAGAGGTCCAAACAGTGATGAGCTAGTGGATAGCATGCATCCGTCTGACTGCCTGTGCGCTATGTTAGACGTGCAGAAGAAATGTCATTGGGCGGGTGCACCCCAGACGGCGCCAATGCGCCGAAATGTAATCGTGAATAGATTTGCGCGTGTATGACTAGATATAGATCTTGGGTCCGCACCGTATCAGACGTTGTTTGCCATGTCACTCGACTCCACCACGACCGGCCAAAGACGCTGGCTGGGTTGCTGGCTCGGTGGTCAGCAGCTTGGCGGATGCTTGGAAGCAATATTAACCTAGGGGCTCAGGATGCTATTTCGGGCATAGAACTCGCATTGGCGTGTGCCAGAGGCCGAGTGGAGCACAGGGGGGTTGCGGGACTGTGGCTGGTGAGTTTCCCAAAAGGATCCTGTCCTATAACCTTTTGTTTTAGCACGACTCGACAAACTCACTCGGACTGTTGTTGTTATTGCACTTGGATATACGAGTCTTGCCAACAAGACTAGGCCTCTTGGACGTAGCGACAGCCCACAAGTCATGGCCAAACCCGGCAAGCGGACGGGGGCGGAAGGGAAACAAATCGCCATTTGAATCCACCACGCCAACCAACCGTACACTGAAACGCGCGCGTCGTTTACTTCAATAAAGCGCGTTCTAAGCATGTAGGCGTTGCCAGAAACAGGCTAAGCAAGGCCGGCGAGGGGCGCATGTGCATCCATATCCGTTGAGCCCCTCGTCCCAAACCATACGCCTCGAACAAATCCATGCCGGTTGCCGGCACACAGCGGCGTGCGACAGAAGACGACTGTAAAGGAAAAGAGGATTGTTCTGTGTTTGTCCTACTCTTTCATTGACCTCGCTAGCTGGCTCGTTTCTTCATCGTCATGGTCACGGTCATTGTTATCGTCGTCGTCGTCTCGTCGTCGAAGCATGTGATGGTGGTGGTGGTGGTGGTGATTTGGCGGCTGCGCCTCATGGCGTCGTGATTTGAGGGGAAAGCCAGGCACACACACACACAAACACAGCGTAGCCCCGTCCAGCCTGGCGGGTGGCGCTTGCGAGGCTCCACTGCACTCCTCTCCCTTGCCCGTTTTATCAATACTTCATATAATACTAGCACCTCAACCCCGACTCATCGTGACACTTTCTTTGTTCGTGGGCCCATCTCTCTGCCTCCTCGCCGTCGCCGCCGTCAAGTATTCTTCTGTCCGGCACCGCAGTTATTCGAGCAACCCGTCCATCTTTCTTGACTTTTCTATTCTCGGTGTATTACTTACTAACGGCCATTCACTTTTCTACTGCCTCTACCCTAATTACCTAGTCCTTTGTCCATCGACTACCTCTTTTTCTCTTCATCTACGCTTCTACAGAAACCAAAGCATCTTGTTTATTCTCTCGCCATGTCTCGTCTCCCACCCCTTGGAGCGCTGCTCCTTCCTCTAACCGCTCTGCTCGTCTCGCCCACTCACGCCACCAGCCCTTACACCAGCAGCATGAGCGAAACGCCAAAAGACAACAATGCAGACTGTGACTGCTACATGGTTCAATCCGGGGCCGAGGCCAAGGATCCATCTTATTTTCAATACTACCGTTTCTACGACTTTCGCAACCTACCCGGCGCCCTCGACAAGTCACCACCAGCAATCAACCAGTCGCAAAACGCTGCACAACTAGCAGCATGGCAGCCCGACCTGTTCAACAGCGATGCGTGGAACTTTGATTGGGGCATCCAAAACTGGAGCAAAGATGCTACCTCTGACTTTCCCGTGCCGCTGACTAACTCGCCTGCAAACATCTATCTCGGATCCGAGCAAGACACATCGTACCTGGCGCTGCGCACGACGCGCGTGTCGTCACACCAGACAGCAGCGGAGATAGAGAACCAGCAAAAGAATCTGATGCACGCCTCTCTGCGCATGTACGGGCGCGTGCAGGGCTCCGAAGGCGCAGTCGCAGGCTTCTTCACCTTTTTCGACGACACCAATGAGTCCGACATTGAGATTCTGACCCAAGATCCCAAGGACAAGATCCGCTACACCAACCAGCCAGCCGTGGATACTGCAGGCAACGAAATTGCCGCCGCATCGCTGGACCCGACCAACTTGCCGCGATGGGACGAGTGGCACACGCACCGCATCGACTGGCTGCCCAAGCAGAGCTACTGGTTCCTCAACGGCGACCAGGTGGCCCAGAATACCTACTCGGTGCCTCACAAGCCCAGTTACCTTGTCCTCAACATGTGGAGCGACGGTGGAGAGTGGAGCGGCAACATGAGCGTGGGCGACAGTGCAGAGTTTCACATCCAGTGGATTGACATTGCCTTCAACACCAGTGGGCCGTACGAGGGCGAGCAGCAGCAGGACGACGAAAAGAAAAATGTAAAGAGAAAGGACAAGAGCTGCAAGACAGTGTGCAGGATTGACGGCGTCAAAGAGGTTGGAACCCCAGAGGTTGCCTATGTTGGAAGTGCAGTTGCCTCCACCGTGTCATTGAGTCTAATGGTAGGAGTAGTGGGTGCTGTGTCTGTTTTCATTGGCATGTAAAAATATAACAAGAAGAAAAATGGGGACCATGGTCAGGCAAGACCGACTTTTTGAAATGCATCAAATTCATACAACCTTCTACGACTCGACACTCATCCAGAAAGAATGAACAATGCACTCGTACCCTTGCAAACTACCCGTTCAAAAAAATCATCCATGTCCAATATCGTACAATACACGCCATGCACGGCATCACACAAAGTGAGCCATGTCTTCAGTCCTCTCTCAACTAACCACCGGGGTATTCAACAGCCTCTCCTTGTCCATTCGTCGCGGCGGAAAAAAAAGAAAAGGGTGGCAACAATGCCAGCGGATATAGATCTATATACATTGACATGCTCTCATGCCAATCCCCCTCGTTCGTCCGCCCTCGTGTCATTCCTCATCGTCGTCATCGTCGTCGTCTATCTCGTTTTCATATGCGATTCACTCGTCCTTTTCTTCTATAAAAACCCGCTCGCCGCCTTTCTCTCACAAGAAATATTCACCTCGGCCTCCACGGCCTGCAGGCACCGCACGCTTGTGGTCAGGAACGGCCGAGAATATCTGGAATTCGGGCTTGAGGTCTTCGCCTAGGTTCATAATGGAGGCGACGTTGCCGCAGCGGTAACAGTAGTTTGGCGCCGACCACACCGTTACAACATCCTTGTCCTTGAAGTGGTATTTGTAGCCTTCGTTGACTAGCTGATGAGCTCGTGCGATAAGCTGCAGGCCGTTTACATGATTGAACTGAGCAATGATTAGCTTGTGTACCATTCCCAAAAAGTCACGTGTCTATGATACCTCTGAAGAGACCTTGTCTCCAAATAGCCAACCCGCACCTCGAGGCGAGACTGCCCATGTGTCCACCTCTTCTGGATCACTCCAGACGAGATCGCAAAAGGCACCCTCGTGAGGGATTTCTTGAGCGCGGGCGACAACGCGGATCTGATCCAGTGTTCGAATCTCTGGGCTCAGTCCGCCATGAACACACAGGACTTTGCCGTCGACAATGGCAGCAAGGGCCAGGAAGTCGAAGACTTGACAGCAGGCCTTCCATACCGAAGCATTGCCGTACTTGGTCTGACACTCTTCGTAGAAGCCGTAGACTTGAGTGATTTGTCTGGATTCGTGGTTTCCGCGTACTAGCGTCACGCGATCTGGGAATCTGGGGCGGGGAGGTCAGCATGGCCATGCGTCATAGTTGCTTGTTGGGCGAGCTTACTTTGCCTTGAGGCACATGAGAAGGGTGAAGGTCTCGAGACTAAAGTAGCCGCGGTCAACAAAGTCGCCAAGGAAGATGAAGTTTTGCTGCCCGTTTCCGCCAACGGTGTTCTTGCTCGAGTCGGCGTCCGAGGCGGAGCCAAAGCTGCGGCGGTCGTTAACGCTCCGGCTGCGGCCGCGCTCTTCCTCGTCGTCGTCATCGGCATCCTCGTCGCCGTCGCCACCAGGAGGGCTGGCGGGGCCCGTATAGTTTGGGTCACGCTGGAACCTGCGCTTCATCTTGCGCCTTACTTTTGGGTCTGTGATGCTGGTGGGGGGCTCGAGGTCGGCCGGGTTGATTGTGCTTGGGATGGTGACTGGCTGGGTGAGGGGCGCTGTGGGCGTATCGCTGGGCATGCCGCCGGCGACACGGAAGAGCTCGAGAAGGTCATAAAACTGGCCGTGGATATCACCGCATACCGTGACGGGGGTGCGGACGGGCTGGATGTTTGACTCTGGGAAGGGACGGCGTGTTAATGGTATGGAGGACGAGGCGCGGCCGCGGCGTATTCACCTTCCATCAGGCACTCCTTGACAATCTCGCAGAGGCGCTTCATGTCGGCCTCGGGCAGGTACTTGCATTGCTTGGCCTGCTCGAGCCATTCGTCGGGGCCCGCGCCCTTTGCCAGGCGGGCAGGGCCTGGCTGAGGGACGTCGTGGTCTTTGCCCATGGCGGGGTAGCGAGAGAGGGAGCGTGTGTGTATGTGTATATATATATATGGGGGGATTGTAGATGTGTGCGGCGGGTGGGTAGGCGAGAGAGCGTGGGTGCGCGTATATAGATAGAGGAGGTGTGTGGGTGTGTGGGTGAATGTACTACCTAGGGCAGGGCAGGGCAGGGCAGAGGTTCGGGCTCGGGGGTTCGGGGCATGCGTGTGTGGGGCTGATGAGAGATGGGGGAACGGCCAGGCGGGCGGCTCTGCCCTCCAAGCCTGGCGCCGCCGCTGCCTCAACATCGACAAGACTGCAGCAGCCGCGCAGTGCTACGGCCCACCACCACCACCCATCCCGACTGCTACGCACGCATACAACAAGAAAGCCGCCACCGCTACTGCCATCGCCATCCACTGCTACCGTCCTTCTTGCCCATTCGACACCCAATGTCCTCTCGCACCACCCGCCCCTCCCCCCTCCTCCACCACTACTACTACCACCACTACCACGACCGCCATCACCACCTCGCTCCTCCACCGCCACAACCACCACAACCACCACACTCGCCATAAGCATCCTCAACCTCTGCAATCCCCCTAAATCCCTCTAGGCAGTCCCAAGCACTGTCATGGCCCCCCCACCACCACCCAGCGCCGGCGTCCTGCCCGTCGCCCTGCTTCAAAAATCGCAAACAACCCACACACCCCGCAACCAGAAGCCCCCGCAGCCTCGCCTCAAGCTCATCTGTCGCCGCCTGCCCCCGGGTCTGACCAAGCAAGAGTTTGTCAATGTCCTGGGCGACGACTGGAAGCTGGGCGCTGGCAGGATCGACTGGCTCAGCTACCGCAAGGGCAAAATCTCCACCGACGCCGCAAAGCCCTCTAAGCCTGCCCGTGCCTACCTGCACGTAACCAAGCCTGACCATGTAAAGGCCCTCGGCGACTATATCCGAGCCCTTTCCTTCCACGACGCTGCAAAGTCGTGGCAGGACCCCGTCCTCGTCGGGCCCCCTACGCTTGAGTATGCTCCCTACCCCAAGATGCCTGGTGGCCGCCGTCGCAACGACAACCGCCAGGGCACCATCGACCAGGACCAGGAGTTCAAGGACTTTCTTGAGAGCCTTACTAACCCCATCACCAAACCCCCTGCCCCAGAAAGCGAAGCCCCCAAGGACAAGGTCAAGACAACGCCTCTGATCGAAGCACTCCGTGAGAAAAAGGCAAATAGGGACAAGCCAAGTACAAAGCCCAACCGACAAGCTCGTGCAGAGGCCAAGGAGGACGCCGCAGAGCGCGCCGAAAAGAAGATCCTGACAAAGTCGACAAAGGAGAATGCCCCTACCGCGTCCGACAAGACCCGCCGTTCAAACAAGGCTGACAAGGCCCAAGCCACCAAGGATGCCGTCAAGATACTCAACAAGGAAGCTGCTTCTTCCAAGACATCTGCTGCTGCCACCCCGGCCGACAAGGCCTCCACAAATCCAGCCCCAGAGCGCAAGCGCGGAAACGTCGCACTTGCAAAGTCGATGCTCCAGCGCGACCTTGGAGTAGCACCTGCACCCAACCGTCGTCGTGGCACCAAGCGTGAGGTCACTTCAGCCACACCCGATGCTGCTCCCCCAGTCAAGGAAACAAAGCCATCCGATGACAAAGCCAAGGGCGCTGCCGCTACCCTTCCAGCCGTATCCGCTACCCCAGACAAGTCTGCCCACTCAAACAGGAAGGAACGCCCAACCCGTGCCGAACGACGTGCGTTCAAGGCGAACCAGGGCGACAAGGCTAATGATAAGGCTACGACTGCCGAAGCCAAGTCACAGACGCCAGTAAAGACACCCGCTCCCCAGATTCTGAAGAAGCCTCAGCCCGCTCAGTCGCAAACAACACCAAAAGGTCCAGCCGCCTCACGAGCCCCACCATCGCAGCCGCAGGCTCCTCCCACAAAGGCAGACAGTACTCCGACCCCTGCCGCCAACAACACCTCAAAAGCTACCCCGGCACAGTCTGCCCCCGCGCCCACAAGTAAACAAGCCTTCCTCAAGCATGCCAACCCCAGCCAGGGTATCACCGAGCCCCTCATCGAAGAAGCCATGAAGCTCTTTGGCGCCATTGAAAAGGTCGAAATTGACAAGCGCAAGGGCTTCGCCTACGTCGACTTTACTGAACCTCAAGGTCTTCAAAAGGCCATGGCTGCGAGCCCAATCAAGATTGCTCAGGGCGCTGTCCAGGTACTCGAGCGAAAGGAAAAGGTGGCCAGGAATCCTCGCTTCAATGGCCCCACTCCACCAGGTCCTGCTCGTGGCGGAGGTCGCACCAACTTTGCTCCCCGTGGAGGACGGGGTGGCCGTGGAGCCGCAAGAGGTGGAGGTCAGGTTAACTCCAATCCCGCTCCAAGTGCTAGCGATTCGGCTCCTACAGTTGCTTCACCTGGCCCTGCCCCCGTTGCAACATGAAGAGAGGGTTGCTGTTCCTCTTGTGTTGGAAGCAAACAACGACGCTGGATGTCGCACAAAGATCATGGAGAACCTAACTTGATCAACGTGTATGGTTGCAGAAATCCACAATCTTACCACAACAGAAGAGTACAACATCACTCTTCAATTGTCCGGCATAGCCGCCCGTCATCGATACCAGCCACGTCAACATATCTGACTTAGCCAAGTGTATCACCATGTAGTCGCACACAACACACATCATCATGCAACAAATGTGTATAAGTGGAACATGGATTTTTACCACTAATCATGAGAACTCGATAAAACAAGTGGAGGTGGCGTCTAAAGAAGCGATTACTATAGATATGATTGATGAAACCTTCTATCCGCTTGTATTCCTCAAAGGGGACTCAGAGTAATCACATCAAGCTATATTCAGTTTTCTCCACCCTCTGGCTTAGTGCTCCTCTGCTATGAACTTCTTGGTCAACTTTTCCATCATTTGTGCATGAGCCACCTGTCTGCCACGAGGAACTTTGGACTTGGGGACAAGATGAGAGCAGTCCTGGAGACTCTGTACGTTGTTGCCAATGACCGCGAACCGGTTCCATGCACTTGTGAAAGCATTGGCCCATAACGTTGTCGACTTTGCGAAGACGGCCTATGATCTATAAGTCTATGATTCAATACTAGTTAGTTGCATATCATTATATCAAACGTATTGATCACAAGCAGAATACGCACCTCGGCCGCGCTAGACATGAGACGATCGCTTTGAAGACTATAAGGGGCAGTACCGGCCTTCGTCTCTGCGTAATACCTAATGTCGCAAATGCTGGGCGTCGAGTCGAGTGATGCACCGGCTCTCGCGGGATCATCTTAGACCTGGATCACTATGCTGTGTGTTCCAAGTAGCGCAACCACGTCTTGAGGGGAGAAGCCCTTAGCTGCGAACATGCTCAAGATCTTTTGGACAGGATCCCGGCTCCTCGGTAGGCCGGTTGGTGGTGCATCTGCTGAGCTGTCTCTTCTGCCTACAAGCGCCTGAACCTGGGGGCCGAGCGGGCATGCTGAAAGTGACATTGCACCAGCAAATTGGACCATGTCAGCAGCACCAACACGATACTGGGTGCGCTTCTGGTTGAGTGTCTTACAGAGATCTCTCAGTCCAAGGTTCTCGACCCGTGAGCATTCTTCCTGGGAAAGGATCAAGCTGCCGTTGCAGCCAAGAGGCAAACAGGCATGGAGCACAGCGCGAACGGCTGAGTGAGCTGCTTTGTTGCAACCTTGAAAGATATTCGTGAGATCGGCAGCTATAGTTTGCCAAACAGCGGGGCAGGTGCCCGCGCGAGGCGAGGCGTCCACGGCAGAGATGGGCGTCACGGCAAGGGCAAAGAGGGCGATGGACGCAGGATGCATTTGAGCCAAAAGTAAGGATTTGTTGAATAATATGTGAAGAAATCTCGTGTCGTTTAGACTGATCCGTAGGAATAAAGGAATGTGAAGCAGAGTGAGCGAGAGAGTGAGAGTCTGAATAGAAATGTATCTACAAAGATGTTGCAAACTGCTGTGATTCTTCTTTATTTTTTCGCGATTGAAGCCCGATACTTGTAGTTACTAACACCACCGTCCTATGTCCCCCAAACTGAATAGTCAAAAAGGTTAATTATGAAGAACAAGCCCGAACAAGTTGAGGTCTGGTCGAGAGGAATAAAACCAGCTACATCACGACAGACTCATTTTCGCGATGATAATAATTAACCTTTTTCCTTGCTCCTCACCAGAACATAGTCTTACACTCACCCGTCTCACATTTTACACATGTAGAAAGACTCCGCCAGTCCACTTGATTTGATCTAAGTATACCGTCTAGTTATCAAGTGTAATTAAACTAACCTCTTTGCACCACTTACAAAAGGACCGTAGCTAATTGGATCCTGCAAAAGTTGTACCTTTGGCGAACTATCAAGATACATGTCGTAAGGGGCGGGAGAGCTTACATGGTATTAATAGCACCAGCAGTGGGTTACTAATTTTGCGATTTCCGGGCAAGAGCAGGCATGACGTGAGATGATTATGTACATACGGGACGGAGGCAGCCGTGCCGCATGCGTAGTGAACTAACTGTAGTAGAAAGTGAGTGAGATAGATGTTCATTCTCTCTTCTTGCTTAATGCTTATTTTTCTCCGTTATCTCGTACATTGTGATTAAGACCAAACGTGATGCGAAAATATCGATACGCTCTTGACATCTCCCCTCGTCTTATCCTTACAACCATAGACTGAAGATAATAAAAACAACTCAGTGCAGCACAACATCAAGTGTCGCTTCGCACGCGATCTCTTTCTTCTTCTTAGCGATCAGACCGTACGCCGAACAACTCATGTCCATAGCTGTAGTCTCACCAGTCCGAATACCAGACTAATTTATACCCACCTACCTGCAAAATTTCCACTACTACAAAACTCAAACGCCATCTTCTGAATTAGCTCAACTCCCCTTGTCTATGTATGTAAGCGCAGCTTGTAGTAGGCTCATCGGTTACAGATAAATTAACTTTTGAGAAATATACTGTACATATACGTACGTACAATGCACAGAGAAGGAAATATCGAAGAGACACACCACCAAACATCACAGTCCCAATCGACACCCGAGATCGAGAGATCGAAGCATGAAAAATACAGTCAGCTTACCCACGATCTATAAAACTAAAAAAAAAGACGTTTAGTTCGCAGTTAGCTCCGATTCGACGAATCAGAATGTTTTCACACACGTGATTTGGGTGGGTGAGATATACAATCTCGAACATACATACTTAACATCTGTAACAAAGTTTTTCATCGTCATCGTTGTCGGGGCCAGGCGCCTCGTCATGACCCACTTGAGAGACCAGTATAAATCAAGTAAGAACCCAGTAATTAATTCTTCTCAAATGGACACTATATATAGAAGAAGAAAGGGATACGGGAAAAAAAAGAGAGCCAGAACAGAAGAGTATTATCTACGCGCCTGGACGGGAACATCCAGCAAAGTTTGCATGGTACGGAGGATTTTTTATCTACGGCGGTACAGGAAGGAGAGACCAAGGAAAGGTTCAGTCAGGGTACTCACTCTTTCGAGTGTTTTGAATTAGCCCCCCCCCCCCCATTCTGGTCTCCTGTGTAAGCTTCCCTTTTGCACCACGGAGGTTATGGAAATGCGGACGAGCTCGGAACAGACATTTCGGCAACAACTTGCGGCATGTGTGATGGCAATTAGTCGCTGCTCAACCACAAGTCGCACAAGATCTATGCAACTTGACACCAATATCACGACAAGTCTCTATTTCAACAGAGCGAGGCACAGCACCATCAAGTAAGAACAACAGGCAAGATTAACACAATCAGACTTCGCACCTGGTGGCACATGACACGCGAGAAGAAATGCCTGGCGAGAAAGGCCTCGCTAATCACCAACAAGAATCATAGCATAACAGCACGAGAATTGAAACTCATCAAAAAATTGCAAATTTCCTTTTCTCCCTAAACTCAAGACTCCCCAACAACTAGACTACCCTACTACATACCTACTACCTACTACAGTACCCCAACTCAACTCGCAAGAAAGAAAGGGTATCAAATCGACACAAAAAACATTTCCCGCCGCGAAGCGTAAATAGTTCTTCTTTTGATATTCTCGAAACAATGAGAGAGAAAAAAAGGGGTTGAATACACGAAGGAGAACGTAAATACAAAGAACAAAAAGTTAGACTTGGCCTCCCGCTAATGGTGTTCGAGAAAAAAAATAGAAGCAAAAAAAACAAATGCTATACGCTCAACAAGACATTGCTCGGGAGAACCCAACATGCTTGTGCCATAAACAGGTCAATGATAGTGCAAGAATGCAAATTGGTCATACCGTCGTGTCAATTGTACAATTAAGATGCGTGAAGAAAAAGGGCGCAATTTCTTGTACCCGGCTCGAAGATTAAATCATGGGGGTTTCGCCACCTTGGTAAACACCGGCTTGAAGTGTGTCTGGTGGCATATTGGCGCGAAGCTCCTTGGGATTCCTATAAAAAGGCTGACTGTTCTCTGAAGGAGGTATGACTTGCTCCATGGGCTGAGGGTGGGGCGGTGGAGGTGGTGGAGGTGGTGGGATTTGGTTCACGTATGAATCAGAATAACCGCCATCTGCAGGGGGAGAGCGGGCACCTGGACCGCGTGGAAAGGAGAACTCGGGCACACTCTCATAGGGAGATACCTCAGCGCGGGTCATTGGCGGCGACTTTGCGCGTTGAGGGCCGCGACTAGTGCTACGCATGCGTTCAGTGACCCGCTTGAAAGTCATACCAAGATTCTCGCTCACACTACCGCGTCCCCGTCGGTGAGTATGTGGGGAGCTAGAGGCTGAGGGATTTGTAGGTGATATTTCCATGGGCTTCTCTCCTGGGCTGTTGCCCTCAATGGCAATGTTGATCATGCCAACACCGCCAATGTTTAGTGGCGGTGGAGGCGGTGGAGGTGGAGTTGCCAAATGCTGAAGCTGAGACAGCAGAGGGGGCGCCGTCTCATCCGGAGCCAAAACTACAACCTGACTTTCATGAATGGTCTCAGCAATGCTGGCTGTAATCGGAGGTGGGCTATGACGCTTGTAGTTGGGTGGAGGCAAAACTTCGGGCATTGTATTTTGTCGAGCATGACCGCGGGATCCGCCCAGAGAAGGGCGTCGACCAACTACGGGGTACGTGGGAGAAACGTATGAGCTAGATGGCAACTGCATATCCTGTGGAGGAGCCGACATTGACCGTTGAGGTGAAATGGGCTGTCCAAACGTTGTTGCAGGAAGAAGAGGGCCGATGTCGTCTTCCTGTGCACGTGGAGAACCTTGGGCAAACTGCATGTCATTGGGGATACTTGGCACAGCAGGGATGTCCTCTTCATTTGGATCAGCAGTCATGTATCGAGGGTGGCGCATGGCACGTGGATTTGCTGGCAGGCCAATGGGCACCGATGTCGTCGAGGTTGGACCAATCGCAGCTCGATTCGTAGGCGAGTACCTTTTGCTAATCTCTGGGTCCGCAGTTTGGCTTCTCTGGATAGGATCTCGATACATGGACACTGAGCTCAGCATGTCGTCGGTATGTGATCGCTCGTGGGAGACAGGTCGGAAAGCAAGATCGCCAGGGTGTGGAATAATCGGAGCAGAGGGTCGTCGAGCGAGGGATAGCCTACGTTCCTCTAGCTCTCGAGCAGCCAAAGCCTTCTTCGACAAGGCTCCGGGGCGCATGCGTGAGGCGCCTGACCGTCCCGAAGTCAGGGATTCAGGAGATGGGTCTCGCGTGTGGACTCGGGTGCGACTGGACTCCCTCAGCACTGGCGTAGGCTTTCGGCTCATGGATCGGTCGCGTGGTGCATGGCGCTCAGAAGAAGCCTCACGACGGCTGCTTGTGACACCTTCCACAGCGCGACGGCTGCTGCTCCTTTGGCGCGGACGAGCAAGTTCTTGGTCGAGGAAGGATTCAGATTCTTCCCGATGCATAGGTTGAGGGGATACAGGCGAATTCTCTCCACGTGTGGCGCTCCGGCCGCGATAATCTGCTTGACGACGGCTTGACGCTCGGCTGGCACCCTTGCTGCGGGCGCGTGCGGCCCCTTCAGGCGATTCTGTGCGTTGTCCTGCTGTCTTGGAAGAGGATCTGGTTTTGCTCGCTCCGTGACGCACTCGGCTTCTCGCAGTACGAGTGCTGGCAACTGATTCAGTGACTACAGGAGAAGCAATGCCAATCTTGTAGAACCTCTCATCATCAAAGTTTTCCGTGTTGGTGCCAGCCTCTTTCTTGGTAGAAGAGTAGATGCCTGCATCCTCTGGAGACATTGGTACAGGCGATGAAGGAGAGCGCTTTGCAGGGTGAATGTAACGCACACCAGAGCGTCCACGGTTCTGTGAATCCTCACGGTTGCGACTGCGTGTGCGTGCGGTGCGCGAAGCAGGTCTATCTTCGTTCCTTGAGTTGGCGCGGTTCTGGGCATAGTGGTTTGCCTCTTCAAGACTGCTGATGTATTGATCAATGCTGCGTGCCTTTGCGCTCTTAATGCTTGCGCCGGTCAACGGAGGACTCAGTCTGTTTGTGTAGCTTGTCTCTGGACCTTGCTCTATAACAACAGTCTCCTTCATATCGAGATGGAGATCCTGGATGTTTCTACTCTTGGAGCTGGCACGCGAATCGCTGCTCTTGTCCTTCAAGACTTCGAATACGCCTACCGCTGGAGACGGTAGGTGATCGCTCGACTTTTCGGGGTTGAAGGTTGTTGCAGACAATACGAAATCTTTGGAGCCACTTGTTGCACGTCGTGTGGAAAATGGCAGGGTTTCTGCTTCACGACCAACATTGTCAACGGCAGTCCTAGGATGAGATTCACCGCGTTGGCCGCGGTCAGGAATAGCCAGCGAAGCGAGAGACTGATTGTTTGTCGTGCCTCTACCAGTGTCAGATCGTGAGGGAAAGCGCTTCCGACCGTAAGAACCCGGTGTGGCAGTCCGCGCTGAAGAAGGCTCTCGAGAGGCATCACGAGCAGCGCGTCCGATCCAAGCATGATTGCCAACAGCGGGGCTGATAGCAGATTCTGCAATGGGGGTGACACCTGCGTTCATGGGAGTTTTGTCATCCTCTTCGTGAACAATTTGCTTGGGTTGTGGACCACGGGTGAAGTCTGTGACCAGCTTGAGCGAAGCCATCCTAGCCGCCACTCTGCTGCTACCGACACTTGGTGGCGATAAAGGTGGACTCAATTGTGAGCCGAGTAACGCTTGCTTCTGTGCAGAGAAAACAGCGTCCTGAGCACGGGGCGAGAACCAGGGCTCGGTGGTTTCCAGGCCCATGCACGAGAAGCATCTTACAGCCAACTCGGCCTTGCCGTGTGCGACAGCATACTCACCCCATTTCCGGACCAAGTACGATTGTCTCTGCCAGTCGGTTGGAAAAGTTAAGCA